GGAGGATTCGCACGTGATCGGCCTGTTTTGAACCACCACCACCATAAGTTGGAGGGGGAGGGGGTTCTCCTCGTCCTCCTCTTCCTCCTCGTCCTCCTCCTCCTCTTCGTCCTCCTCCTCCTCGTCCTCCTCCTTACCCCCTACAACTTGAAGGTGGTGGTGGTGGAAAACAGGCCCATCAGCACGTCTCTAAGCGCTGCGGTGAACGGCCCCAGTGCTGTGCAGGTCTGCGAGCAATTTGGCGAGGAGGTCCACGCGCCTCGAAGCGATGGGCGGGTGGGCGGGATCGGGAGCTCGTGGGGATGACAGAGGCGGGCGAATGCATGGGTCTCCAAACCAGCCTGAATAGTGAGTAGTGCTCGCTCGCGAGCGTCTTCTGGCATCTTCCTATGCCAGGGTAGGCGCTGCTCTCCACCTCCTCAATTGAGCATGCAACATGCATCGAATTGTCTGTCAGCTGGCTTACCATCAGCGGCATCCGGGTTCCTGGGGAGCTTGACGCTCCCGGTTCACGTTCGTCGGACCTCCCGTTGCTGCGATTTCGGTGTTGGTTGTTGGCGCAAAAAGGGACAACACCAATGCTACATAATCCGCACGTGTCCATACCTTGTACTACATGTTGCTTGATACACTTGCCTGCGACAAGTCCAGCCACCGTGCCAGCCCGGTATTCTGGGTGGCAACTGTTTGAGGGATCACGAGAGGCCGTGACGTATGACATTTCGTGTCCCAAAGTTTGGGAGACTTGTATTGAGGAGGATGAGCCTGACATTACTCATGATGACGATGCTGACGATGATGATGATGATGATGATGCTGCTGCTGATGATGATGATGGTGCTGATGCTGATGCTGATGCTGATGCTGATGCTGATGCTGATGCTGATGATGCTGCTGCTGATGATGCTGATGATGCTGCTGACGATGCTGCTGATGATGATGACGCAGATGCTGATGATGCTGATGATGATGATGATGGTGATGGCGATGCTGCTGATGATGATACTTATGATGTTCATGGCGATGCTGATAATGCTGCTGATGATGGTGATGGTGGTGATGATGATGCCGATGCAGATCATGATGCTGATGATGTTGACGACGACGAAGATGAAGATAAAGATGAAGATGAAGATGACGATGAAGTTGATGATGATGATGATGCTGATGATAATGATGATGATGATGCCCGTGCTGGTGGTTGTGGTGTCGATGATCATGCTGATGATGCTGATTATTGTGGTGATAAGGATGGGTGATGATGATGGTGATGACGATGATGAGGAGGATTATGCTGATGCTGATGATGACGCTGATCGTGGTGGTGGCGGTGATAATGATGCTGATGATGATGGTTGTGGTGTAGATGCTGATGATGATGATGCTCGTGTTGATGATGAATAATGCTGCTGATGATGATACTGATGCTGGTGGTGATGATGATGATGTTTGTAACGATGATGCTGATGATGATGATGCTGATGACTATGCGTATTATTATCATTGTGGTGATACTGCTGATGACGATGACGTCGACGTCGATGATGATGATGACGATGATAGTGACGATGATGACGATGATGATGATTGTTACTGTGGTGCTGATGCTTATGACAGCGACGACGATGATGATGAAGATGATGATGATGCTAAAGCTGGTGATGATACTGATGATGATGATGCTGATGATGCTGCTGCGGATGATGATGCTGATTCAGATGATGATGACGATGGCGATGATGATTATGATGATGATTGGTGGTGGCGGTGCTGATGATGGTGCGCAGGATGATGAGGATGCTGGTGATGATGATGATGATGATGATGACTCTGATGATGATGATGATGATTATGATGATGATGATGATGCTGATGATGATTATGATGATGATGATGATGATGATGATGATGATGATGATGATGATGATGATGATGACGATGAGGATGATGATGATGATTATGATGATGACGATGATGATGATGCTGATGCTGATGATGATGCGATGATGATGGTGACGAAGATGATGATGATGATGATGCTGATAATGACGATGATGATGATGATGATGATGATGCTGATGATGATGATGGGTGATGATGATGATGCTGATGATGATGCTGATAATGACGATGATGATGATGATGATGATCATGATGATGCCGATGCAGATCATGATGCTGATTATGATGATGATGCTGATGCTGATGCTGATGCTGATGCTGATGCTGATGCTGATGCTGTTGCTGATGCTGATGCTGATGCTGATGCTGATGGTGATGCTGATGCTGCTGATGCTGATGCTGATGCTGATTATGCTGATGATGCGTTGAGTCATACCCCCCCAGGACCCCCGTCATCGCCGAAAATAAAGACACGCTCTCGAGCGCGCGCCCGGGCAGGCGGCCTGCTGGCTTGCGGCTTGCTGCTGCGCCTTGGTGCCCGGCTCTTGGGCGCGGCGGTGTGCGAGGCGCGCGCGCGCCGACTCCGCGGCAGCTTGCCCCGCGGCGCGCGCGCGCGGCGCGGGTCCTCCTCCTGGGCCCGCTGCCTTTTCCTCCCTCCTCTGTCCTCCTCTCTCCCTCCTCCGCCTCCCCCCCCCCCTCCTCCTCCTCCTCCTCCTCCGCCTCCTCCTCCGCCTCCTCCTCCTCCTCCTCCTCCTCCTCCTCCTCCTCCTCCTCCTCCTCCCTCCTCCCTCCTCCCTCCTCCCTCCTCCCTTCCTTCCTCCCTCCTCCCTTCTCCTCTCTCCCTCTTCCTCCTCCTCCTGCTCCTCCTCCTCCTCGTCCTCCCTTCTCCTGTCTCCTCCTCTCTCCCTCCTTCTCCTCCTTCTCCTCGTCGTCCTCCTCCTCCTTCTATTTCCCCTCCTCCTCCTTCCTCCTTCCTCCTTCTCTCCTCCTCCTCCTCCTCCTCCCTCCTCCTTCTCCTCCTCCTTATTCCTCCTCCTCCGCCTCTTCTGCCTCCTCCGCCTCCTCCTCCTCCGCCTCTGCCTCCGCCTTCGCCTTCTCCTCCTCCGCCTCCGCCTTCGCCTCCTCGTCCTCGTCCTCCTCCTTGTTCCTCCTGAGAGGAACGGGTGAGGCAGGGAGGGAGGAGGGAGGGAGTAGGAGGATAGCCCGATGATTGCGAGGGAGGGAGGGAGAGAGGGAGGGTGGAGGGTGGCCCGATGATTGAGAGGGGGCGAGGGAGGAGGCGGGGACACAGACACGCGATGTCCTGTTGATGGGGTCCCCGAAGTCCCGACCGTTTCCCGGGGCCGGATTTTCCCCGCGAGTCTATCGGCCCGGCGAGGGCCTCCTGAGCCCGAAACTAGAAAACGTGGAGGAGGAGGAGTAGGACGATGATTATGATGATGGTGATGATGATATTGGTTTTGATGATGATGCTGATGCTGATGGTGAGGATGATGCTGATAACGATGATGCTGCTGATGATTCTGCTGAGGATTTGGATGATGCTTATAGTGATGATGCTGATGATGATGCTCATGCTGGTGATGCTGATGCTGATGTCGCTTATGATACACCAATGACGATGGTGATGATACGGACATTGACGATGATGCTGATGATGATGCTGATGGTGATGATGATGCTGATAGCGAGGATACTGATGATGATGATACTGAGGATAAGGATTATGCTGATGCTGATGCTGATGATGCTGATGATGCTGATGATGATGCTCATGCTGATGATTATGATGACGATGCTGATGGTGATGTTGCTGATACTGATGATGATAGGAATGGTGCTGATGCTGCTGGTGATGATGCTTCTGATGATGCTGATGACGAATATGATGCTGTTGATGAAGATGCTGCTGCTGATTTTGATGCTGTTGCTGATGATGATGATGCTGATGGTGACGGTGATGTTGATGACGATGCTTATGAGTTTAATGATGCTGGTGCTGATGCTGATGCCGATTGTATTTGATGCTCATGGTGAAGAGGCTGATGACGACGCTGCTGCTGCTGCTGCTGATGATGATGATGATGATGATGATGATGATGGAAATGCTTATGCTGATGATGCTGATGATGATGATGCTGATGATGCTGTTTCTGATGATGCTGATGATGCTGTTGTTGATGATGATGGTGACGACGATGATGCTGCTGCTGATGCTGACCATGATGAAGCTGATGATGGTGATGACAATGATGATGACGATGATGATGATGATTATGAATATGATGCTGATTATGATGATGGTGATGATGGTGGTGATGATGATACTGATGATGATGCTGATGATGACGACGATAACGATGATGAGGATGATGATACTGATGATGATGCTGATGATGATGCTGATGATGAATATGATGATGCTGCTGATGATGTTAATGATGATGCTAATGATGACGACGATGATGATGATGATGATGCTGATGCTGATGCTTATGCTGCTCATGCTGATGCTGATAATGCTCGTTACGATGATGACTATGCTGATGATGATGATGCTGATGATTATGCTGCTGATGATGATGCTGCTGATGATGATGATGCTGATGATGATATCGACGATGACGATGATGAGTATGACGATGATGATGATGCTGCTGCTGATGATGATAATGATGCTGAATACGAATATACATATGATGATGATGATGATGATGATGATGATGATGATGATGATGATGATGATGATGATGCTGATGATGATGATGCTGATGATGATGATGATGATGCTGATGATGCTGATGATGATGATGATGATGGTGGTGGTGGTGGTGATGATGATGATGATGGTGATGGTGGGTGTGGTGGAGGTGGTGGTGGTGATGATGTTGATGATGCTGCTGCTGCTGATGAAGATTATGATGATGATGATGACGATGATCATGATCATGGTTGTGGTGGTGGTTGTGGATGTGGTGGTGACGGTGCTGGTGACGACGACGACGACGACGACGCCGGCCATCCCGCCGTCGGCCCGCCCGTGCGCGGCGACCTGCCGCGGCGACCTGCCGCCGAGGCGCCGCTGCTGGACCTGGGCG